ATACATTTTTATGACTACGACAACGCGCAGGAGACACATAGCGGTTAATGTAGACTTTATAAATATTTTCTCATAATCAGATTTCATTCTAATAGACAGAAGCGTTGGAGTCAGAATGGATGACTCACACTCACTCACGGTTGCCTAGGCGCGCCGCGGTCAACAGAGCGCCATAAACTCGCCTCGCTCTGCTCTCGGAAACCGAACTGAATGGGATTTAAGGAACTATTTTCTATTGCTGTTTGTCTTGTTTTGATTTATGTTATTCGATTATCCTTCACCTAGATCAAGGGTTTCTTGGCGGATAAGGTGAATACGAAGAGTACCTGGTGGTATTTTGTTTTCTTCATAGGTTTGCGTTCAATAGTGGAAATTTTCCGTTAACTGTATATTCCAATAAGTTCATATTAGTCTTTTTTTCGTCTGCTGTATCAGTTTCCTCAGTTTTGCAAATTGGTGTTAATCATTCTTACCCGTTTTCTTTACTTGGCTGCGTTCAAAGACGAGTTCAACGTCGGTAACAAACAGCAGATCATAATACGAGGTTGAATAAACGCGACTCGCTGCTTGCGTTCCCGGGTGTTTTTTTTGCAAGGAAAGCAATGTTGCGAAAGAGAGAGAACAGAAAAATAAGTCGTCTTTGCACGTGTCGAGACGAATGAAGTGAACATTGAGAGAGTCACTCTTTAAATGCTTTGTCCTTTTTTACTCGTTCCCTCCTTATCAGTGCCCATCCACCTAATCGGGAACAAATAGTATAAGCAGTATTTAAAATGAGCGAAACAAGAACATAATAAAACTGAAAACAGAGAAAATAAATAGAACACAGTTTCGCGTGTGGTTTTGAAGTCCTAAAACTCAAGTCCGAATCGGTGTTTTGAAACTTCCTTAGTCAACTCTGCCACAAGAGAGGCTCATAAGCTTGGTTGTTCACAGGTAACGGACGCAAAGGAATGGATGCAAGAGAACGAGTCTGTCCAGAAACTGTGGTCTGCCCTGCAGCCCGTCAGGAGCTGGATGAAGGTATGTTAATGCATCTCCATTGTTGCTTTGCTAGCTAGCTAGTTTTTTTTTCTCTCTCTCTCTCTTTTCTATTTTTCTCTCTCATTCACATTCTCTCTCTCTCTCTCTCTCTCTCTCTCTCTCTCTCTCTCTCTCTCTCTCTCTCTCTCTCTCTCTCTCTCTCTCTCTCTCTCTCTCTCTCTCTCTCTCGCTCTCTCTCACACACACACACACAGATTTGCTTGCGTAAATTCGGCGTCTTTACAGTTACAGTTTCAACTACTACTAATAGCATTCTCTTGTCATTCTTAATGTGAATAATTTCCGTTGTTGCTCTTATATAACTGTTATTATTATTATCACTGTTCTCATTATCTTTAATTACTTTCCAAAGGAAACTGCCACCAACTTGAAGGACAAGAGTTTCAAGGAAATGTTCGAAGACGTGAAGGGCAGAGTCGGCGAAATCGACCAGACTGTGGGGTCGTGGATCGAGAAAAAGACGGGCGAAGGCGAAGCCAAGTAGGGTTTGAGACGCGATTCATTTCACTCCCATATTCTATAAGAACAAGTGCCTTCGAAACCTATAGCAGTTGTCTTAGGAAAAGGAAGGATGTCTTCAGGTGCTTTTAATTTATGTGTGTAATAAAAAGGACTATTTTTCCTTTCTATTAAACGAAAGAAAGAGGATAAATGGATGTATGAATGTGTTTATTTTGTTAAATGATCTGTTGCTGTACCTGTGGTTACCTGTTATACCTGGCATTGAGGGTTTTGTTGCATTTACCAAAGAAACAGTGTTTCCATTTTGATATTCTTCAGAGTTGTGATGTTTGCTGCAGTGCAAATGGAAATAAAGTTGGATTATTTGTTATAGTTTGTGGTTTCAATGTTTTCCCATGGCAGCTTCAAAAAAATTGTCAATAGATTTAATTCTTTACCCAAATCAGGTGTACGATATTGAAAATTATGAATTTAATTTGCAAATAGATGTTTCTAACCAGCTATTCAATATCTATTATTTATTGAAAGATTTCTGCCGCATCAACATCGAAAGTCATCAGCGGCGTAATCAAAATACAACGACACAGTGGGGCTTGGGGCAAAGCCCTAAATATAGCATTATGATAAAGTATTTTGGCGAAAAGGGTAAAAATGAGTTACCGATTAGGATAAGTAAACAGAAGAAGAGAAAGAAAATGAAAATGGGAGAAAAAAGACCATGTGATATTAGTTGAGAGAGATGAGATCCAAGGCAGGGGTGCCCCGACATTGGGCCTCATTCTCCCTGTCCTTCACATTTGGTAAAATCCAACCCAGATTGAGCACGATCAGGCTGCGACATGGCTTGACTAATGCGCTGGTTGGTTTTCAAGTCAAGAGCACAGTGAACGGCATAAACTCAAGGATGAGAAACAGTACTTTGCCTAACTTCTTTAGACTTGCATCCCCCCCCCTCCCAGCTCGAAACCTGTCAGTGTAGGTGCGGAAGTGCACT